GAACAGGCTCAAACCATGGAGGAAGAACAGGCTCAAACCACAGTGCAACACGACACCAATGGGGACAGAGTGATCCCAACCCTATTCCCCACATGAAGATCTGCCCCCCATGCTCACACCTACCCTTCTGCCGGGCCCGGTTGAAGACTTTGATGTCCTTGAGCTGCACACCAATCCCAGTCCTCAGGGACACTGACTCGGTGGCGTTGTCCTTGTTTCCTCTTTTGATGGAGCCGTTGGCATGGGTCCTGAAGGAGGACATGGTCACCAAGGACCCTTCCCCACCTTCCCACCAGCTCCCCCCATCCTCCACAGAGCCCCCAGCCCCTTTGGCACCTCACCTATCACTCCAGTAAATGTATTCCTCAAAGACTGACACGGAGAACATGTCCATGTTGTTGCTGGACAGGACAACCTCTCTGTTCTCACCCGTCTCCAGGTCAATCCGTTCGATTTTGTCTGTCCGAGCATCACACCAGTACAGCTTCCCATCCTGCAGGGGAGAGACAACATCCCAGTTGGTGTGGGGGCAGAACCATCCTCTGCACCTCTGGCAGGATGTCCTGGGGTTCAGAGCACCTTGGAAAACCCTCCTGAGACCCTGGAGCCCTGAGGAGGGCAAGCATGTCCCCAGCAGCAGGGCATGGCCACAGAACCATCCAGGGATCATCCAGGGACTCTGGGGCCTGGTGCCATCCTCCCAGGTGCCAACTGTACCTCGTAGTCCACGGAGATGCCGTTGGGCCAGCTGATGCTGACGTTGACCAGCACCATTCTCTCGGTGCCGTCCAGGCGCGAGCGCTCGATGCGGGGGTACTGCCCCCACTCTGTCCAGAACAGGTACCTGAGGGGACAGCAGGGATGTCACCACAGGTTTGTCACCACGAGCAGCATTGGCCCTTTGAGTAAAGGACAGACACCACCCCATTCATCCCCCACACCGGGCTTCAATCCAGACCCTGCCCAACCACACACATCACATGCTCTGCATCTCTATCCAAACTCCTCTGCTCTCCCTGGGGCTCTGCCCAAAGCTGAAGCCACTAAGGAGGCTCCACTTGGATTTTCTGAGGTTCTGACACCCACCAGGTCCCAAGGGGCCCCCAGGGAGTTCAGTTCATCAGTGAAAGGAGGATTAAATCCAAGGTTTGGACTCCTTGGTGTGTGCACAGAGCTCTGCTGGAGGTGCTGGGGGTCTCACCCTGTGCCCACCCCACAGGTGATGCCCCTCTTTGGGGCAGCGTCTCACCCCTTCTCTGGATGGACTGTGATGGCCCGTGGCTTGTCCAGCCCTTGTGAGATGACCACGTAGCGGAAGGACCCGTTCAGCCTGGCCACCTCAATGACATCAAACCCCTGGTCCGTCCAGTAGATGTTTCCTGCAAGAGGGGATGGTGAGCCCCCACACAAGCCCCCCTGTCCCCCCTGTCCCTGTCCCCAGAGCCCCATCCCACCTGCAATCCAATCCACAGCAATGCCCTCCACGCGGCCAATGCCGTTGGTCACCACGTCCTCACGCCACGTCTGGTCCCTCTTGGCTCGACTGATGGTGCTCAGGCCCATGTCCACCCAGTAAATGGTGTCATTCTCTGAGAGAGGGACAAGGAGGCACGAGGGGATGAGTCAGTGACCACCTCTGGTCACTTCAGAATGGTAAAAACCTACACCCTGGAGGTTGACCAAGGGGGCATTCCAGGGTGCCAAAAGGGTGATGGTGATGTCCCCCTCATGCCCCCCATCCCCTGTCCTGTCCCCAGCCCTGCATCACCTGCGTGGAAGTCGATTCCCACAGCCAGGGAGGTCCCCGACACCGGCACCAGAGCGTCCGACTTGTCATTGGGGTCCAGGGGGATGCCCCGGATCCCCTCGTGCACTGAGTACAGCAGGAAGGAGCCAACACCTGCAGCACAGGTGTAGGGACAGTCAGACACACCCCAAAACCCACAGGCTGTCCCTCCACCATGGAAAACTGGGGAGGAGAATGAGCCTGGCAGGGCTCTGCAGACACAGCAACACTGGGGGCTGCAACCCTGGCACAATCCTGGTCTTGCCCTGCTCCAGGGGGACACGAGTGGACCCCCTTCCCACCACCCACCACCCCCACCCCCTTGGCAAAGGCTCCACAGCTCATCTGGGTCAGGGCAGCACTTGTTATTCAGCCCCTGGCCTGACCCAGATGGTGCAGAGCTCTGCCAAACCCCCCCGAAACCACCCGGAACATTTTGCACACAAACAGCCTTTGAGAGAGAGGCCCTGGCAGTGCCCGAGGGGATGGCACAGAACAAAGTGGGCATGGGAGATCTGCAGAGTGAGGGATGTGCCTGGCTCTGCTCCCAGTGTGCCCAGCCTGCTGCCCACAGACAGGGTGCCACCTCTCCCTGGGAGGGTCACGGGATCACAGAATCAATCACAGAATCACAGAATCAATCACAGAATTAATCACAGAATCACAGAATCACAGAACCAATCACAGAATTAATCACAGAATCAATCATAGAATCACAGAATCACAGAATCAGTCACAGAATCAATCACAGAACACAGAATCACAGAATGAATCACAGAATCAATCCCAGAATCACAGAATCAATTCCAGAATCACAGAATCATGAGGTTGGAAGAGACCTCTAAGATCATCAAGTCCAACCTATGCCCTAACACCTCAACTGTAGCACCAAGTGCCATGTCCAGCCTTTTTTTAAACAAATCCAGAGATGGTGATTCTGCCACCTCCCTGGGAAGAGCATTCCAGTACTTTATTATTCTTTTGGTGATAAATTTCCTCCTAATATCCAATCTATACCTTCCCTGACATAGCTTGAGACTGTCCTGTCCCAATCCCCTCCACCAATGGCCCCACACTCATCAGGGACAGCCCATGCAAGGGGGTCTTGCTGCTACCTGAGCCCACCAAGCCCCCCAGTGTCCCTCTGGTGCCCTGCAGCGATGGACACAGAGCATTGGGGAGGAGCCCATGAGCAGCCACAACAAGGTCAGGTGGCCACAGGCATGGTTGGGGTGGCCACAGGGTGGTTCAGGGAGGGGACAGGGACAAGCACACACCTTCACAGGACTGCTGCCCACTCTTGAGGCTGTAGCCAGCAGTGCACATGCAGGAGCGGGAGCTCTCCGAGGTGGGCAGGCACAGCTGTGAGCAGTCGCCGTTGTTCTGGCTGCAGGGGTTGGTCCCAGCTGTGGCACAGAAAAGGGGGTGAGGGGGTACAGGGGGCACCCACCAGGGCTGGGGCAGCACCCACACGAGGTGTGAGTGCTTTGCACCAGCCTGGGATGGGATGGGATGGGATGGGATGGGATT